GGGGGGGGGGGGGGGGTGGGATCGCACCTGGACATTGATGGGAGAACCCGCCACAAAGACAATTCTTTTTTTTTTTGTTTTCCCCCGCGCTTCAGAGTCTGCTGAGCAGATCTCAGACTCTTCTGGCAGTTTTCAGATGAGAATTTTGCATCCCTGGATTATCATCTAGGGGAACAAAGACTTATTTCATATTAGCGCCGTTTTCCTAGCGCAGCTAGTCTTCTTCTCCCACTCTTACTCTCAGATGAACCGGTTTATCGCAGCTTGTGAATTTCTTGACGATTGCCTTTCATTTCTTTCATCCCTTACCAGGAAAATGTTGCAAAATTCCTGCCCCATCCCATGTTTTCGGAAACAGCGGCATGGAGAAGCTGTATGGAGAAGTGTATTAACCATGTCACACTCGCATTATTGCACATTTGCTAAACAAAAAAAAAGCTGGAGAAAAATGAACGATGATTTTAGGGCGTTTAAGGGATACGTGGAAGTCGTTCAAAAAAAATTTGTCGTTATTCTCACGAACTCCAAGGAATGACAAATGAAAGGAGGCGTGATTTAACAATATTTTATTGTTCTTTGCTGGGCTGCAGGCATTGATCTCTAAATGAACTAAACCAGTCAGTTCTTTGCTTTTGATTCTTTCACATTTGTCATCGTCTCGATGGCGCACACGCTCGTTCATGCTCACGCGAATGCAGGGACGGACAGGCAGATTTAGAAAATTTTCTTACATCACCAGCTAGTTGGAGGCACGCACAATGCTGCCAAGGGCGACCAAAGTTGGCCGGAAAGGGTTAAGATTCAATCATAGGGAACGAGAGTCAACTGCACCTCAAGACTTATCATTTTAAATTAGGAAAGGAAATTTTTTTCTGTTGGTTGTATGCTCCGAAGAAATTTTATCAAAGGTCATGCCTGCGCGGATTGTATTTTCGATTGAATCAAAGACGCTGAATGCTTGGTGTTTCCTGCTTGGTTTCTGAAATAAAATTAGATTGCATTCGTAGCTCTTCCATGTGTCGAATCCGCTGGTTGGAAAATGAAAATGAAGCAGGTAGCAAGAGATAATGGCATATATGGGGATCCAAGATGCCAAAAAATTGAATGTTTGGTAACCGTTAGCGGAAGCAGGACAGCCATTGGTACATCATACGTTCTGCACCTACATCCCGAAAATATACGCGAGTACAAATTACTGAATTAGAATAACGGAATCGCAAGGCAACGCGCTAAAAAAAAAATCCGGGAACTATGCAGGACTTACTGGAACATGGAAGCATTGCAATACAAATTACGTTTTTAACCAAATAATATCCAGAACTAGCATCTTGTCATTTAGTAAATGCGCCTGAAGGCTCAGTTTTCCCACCCAATTTCTGCCAGTTTGGCTATATTTTATGCTAAACCTGGAGAATCTGAAAAAAGCAGAATAAAAGAAATCCCCAAAGTCTTAATCTCTATAAAGGAGGACGGCAACTCATTTTTATGATCGTAAAGTTTTTCTAAGAACATTTTCCCAGCTTCCACCGCCCTTTGAACCGTTGATAGACAAGGACATACTAACTGACGCGAACAGTTTCACGGAGACTCTGAGGAAAGGACTCGGGGAAGTGACGGTTCTGCGCTAGAGAAAGGTTTGCCGAAAGAGTGCTCAGCTATACAGCAGGAAGCAGAAATGGACAGAGGAAGAGAATTTGGAAAATTCTCCCCTTTCTCTGAGTTCGGTAACTTGTCAATGTCATACACTCACGCGCAAAAATATGACAATTCTCTGCACACTCTTTGATGACAATATACTGAATTTTCAAATTGAAAATGATGAATTTCACTTTTCTTGATCTGATTAAAAACTACAACGAATGCGACTACTCCGCCTAGATCTGCATTTGTTGGTTGTTTTCTGCACGTGTACAAGTGAGTGTCATTTGCTCTTGATATTGCACTCTGCTGTTCGAAATTGCACTCGAAAAACCTGGATGAGATTTATGGGAAGAAAAGGAGAATGTGACCATGAGCAAGATAACTTGACGGAACATCAAATAGAATGGATTAGTGAATTTGTGCACCGGACTAAAATGGGTAGATGACCAGAAAACACCCACTGGTTTCTGTGAAATGTCATCATGGCATTTTATGGGAGAACAAAAAATTGTATGAAAGAAAAAGAAGGAAAGAGGGAAAAATAAGTTGAGCTCCGTGTGGCTGTGACCAGAAATGTTGAACGAAGGGTGTCATTAAGACCTTTTTCATGCAAGACTGGAAACGAAAACATATCGACAAGGAACCAAGCGGGAAAGGCGAATGAGGGTGTTGAGAAAGTTGAATCAACTGAACATGCAAAGTTTCTGACAAAGTTCCATAGAAAACATCTCTCAGTCAGGGAGGAAGAAGGGGAACGGGAAGCATGACAAGCTCGTGGGATCTAGCAGGTTACTATCGTGTGTCGTGTCCCTCTATCCTCGCAAGCTCCGTGGATTGAGAGACCTCCTTTTCTTCTCAGTAGTAGGTTTCTCTCTCTATCCATCCACCTGGATTGCGGCGCAGCAGGAACTTTCGACATTCGTCATAAGCTACTATTAGAAAGAAGTATGGAAGGGCAGGCAGCCACCACACGAGTCTAGAAAAGAGAAGAGAAAGGAAACGACGCAATTTTATTTTGCCTGAAGAAAGGATAGAAATGTGTAAAGAGATGGAGTGGACATACTTGAGAGGATACATATTAATAGCCTTGTCCATACCAGGAGTGTAGCAAAACACAGCAGCCAATAGCGTCTCGAATACGAGAGAGAAGTTCATGACCCAGTTCCTGGAAGTAAAGCATGCAAATCTGGACATTGTGGTTTCTAGAAGTGCTCCTCTGCTAACGTGATGCGACTCACGTCATTCCCTGCTGGGATAACGAATTACGTCGTGTCTTCAAGATGATCAGATTAGCCCATTGAACGATCACAATCGCGACGAAGAAGCCAGTCCAACATGTGTATTCCAGGATCTTCCGGTCATTGTAAGTCTGTAAGGGTACCAAGGAGGATTTTAGTTCTGTTCTGAGCAGTTGCGTAACGAAGGAGGGAGGGGGTGAGCTCTGCCCCCCTTTCCCGAAAATAATTTCAGGCTTTGTGCAAGGTGAGATGAGGGAAATTCTAACCCCCCTCCCTTTTGTAAAGTCCAGGCTACGCCATAGGAATGACTTACCCATTCTTGGCCGTATGAGTCCTCGAGGTCGTTGATGGCCTTGGAATCCCAATAGGAACGGAGGCCGAATAGCTTGAGAGGCCAAAATCCGCTTTGTGCCATGATAGTAAAATATGAGAGGAATCCTCCTGCTATTTGCAATGCCCCAATGTGAAAATATGACATGCACACCAAGCTGTCAAAAATACATCCATTATTCAGTCAAATATCTGTTGCATGGACACTTTCAATCAATTGAATTACTGCATATGTTTCTTTTACGGATAAAGTATTGCATCCGAACCAATCGTTTCCAGCCACTGAAAAGCGATGGATTTCCTTCACTATGAAATTAATTGATGAATGCCACCCGGATTTAAAATGGGATATTGGGTGACATGCACCAGATCCGTTTAACTTTAAACTGAGTGTCTATGGGAATAAGAATATCTTTGTTAAACTGATTCCCATAGGGGACCATAGTGAATTAGTTTAGCTTAAACGGATCCGGCGCATGTCACCCATTAAGTAATGTTGAGAGAAATTTCGATTCAGTTTCGCACAGCAGCTCTCATATGATCATCTTGAAGTTAGTATACATCGTCCTTTTAGAAGTGTCTTTCTCAGTTGCTCGCGAAAAGTCTTATCCGATTTCAGCATGTTCTTCACTCAAGCAGCATGTTTACGTAAGCAAGATGTCAATTCTTTGCAAACAATGTAAATTTCTTGCGATTGCAATGAAAATGACATCACATTTATGTAAAATTAATGTTCCTATATTTACAGTACGTCACCAAAGTGCACATGCACTTCGCATAAACTAGACGTCACTCCATCTGACGTGAAGTACATGATATCAAGATCGCGCAAAATTAACTCCACACCATCCATATGAAACTTTAGCTGATTTATGCAAAATTAACGCCTCGCCATCCATATGAAACTTTAGCTGACCATCCCGCAGTTGCAGTACCAAGATTCCTCACTAGATGGAACCCTTGTTCCCTACACTCCACAAATGCTAGGATAAATACTAGGAACATTTGAAGTGCATTCCAACAGATGCATTTAAAGATCTTAACTCTTTCTCCTCTTAAGGGAAGGGAAACAAGCAAAAGTTGTTGGGGTGCAAGATTTGTGATACATGGGAAATTAGGAATCAGTTCCATGTCCAAGAACTCATGAGCAATGGCAGCACGATGGGAGAGTATTGTCGCGGTTATGAAGGAAGGTAGTTTGCGGCTGTTTGGGAGTATTTATTCAGTTTGTGACCCACTCTGGTTGTGAATACCCCTATGTAAGCCTCCAAGTGATAGATCTCCCGTTCGGTACGGCATGGGCGCAATTACACCTTTACAATCCATGAACACCATGGTTCGTGATCCCGTTTGCTGATAGGGCCCTATCTTGAGCATTTTCCAGGAGGCAGTGAGCCTCGGTCCTTCCGTTGATCCGACTGGCTCTGGTTGCATCTGTCGTAACAATCTTAATCGGTTACGACGTACAAATTGTCGACAGACACCCACTTGAGAAGCTATCTGCCAAGAGTTGTCCTGAAATCCATTGAAATGAAATCTTCGCATGTACACAGTAATGGAGGAAGTGGATCCCAAAGAAAGCAACGTTTCACTATTTTTTCGACTGATGTCCACATGATCACAAATTTAGTCAAATGTTGTTGGATATGCAAATACCTCCACTAACATCACCTGTCACTGATGAATGTTAACCGCTTTATTTTCTTGCAGTCAAACCTAGAAGATAGTTCTTGGCTCAACTTGAAAAAAAAAGAAGCTTGATACTATACTTAACCCGTGCTTAAAATAGTCTGAATAAAAATTAAGCTGCTGGCACTCTATTGGGCAAGTTCAACTTTCAGCTTGTATCGATTAGACTATCAATGACAGTTTTACGATCAGTACTTATTGATATCTCCTTGTCTCTATCTACCTTCACCAGAGTAGGCTGACAGATATTCAGACCTTCAGACAGACATAAGCAGCCATCATCAGTTTTCATTTTAGTTCAGCTGATGAAGCAGCTTGAGGATTCTCTTCACTGACTCACCTAGAAGTCACCAATTTCTCCGTGAAGGGATTCCTGGGCTGACGTTTCATGATGTCTGACTCAGCTTTTTCATAGGCAAGTGCGACCGCTGGAAGCTGAATTATACAAGATTCGGTTTCCAAGTCAATGCGTTTTCAAGTAACACCCATGCCATCAAAATTCATGCCAAATAAGTACAGCATAACTACGAAGCTTACCCCTCAAATAGATACCTCTAATTTTTTTCCCTCAAAAACCTTTTATTGTTTAAGGAAACAAATTTCAGAGATAATGCACACAGCTTTTGCAATATCTCCATTTATTTTTCCCCGTTGTCTCCATCCCATTCAATGCATTTTCGCCAACGTTGTATGCCGGCGCGGTAAAAAAAAAACTTGATTTCTTCATGTAATCATTTGCGAAGCATACATTTCACTGTATTGTCGTCTTAAATGTTTTCAAATAGGAAAATCCTTCAGGGCATGAATTTATAAAATTGCCTTAAGAGGAACTGTATCAATTTTAAAACGGTTTACTCAGCGTCTTACAGTACTCACGTCAGCACATAACTCACCATGAACAGACCATAATTGATGAAACTGTCGCGAAGGACAAGCCTCACTCTGGGCAGACTACGACAGCTGTGACTGAATAAAAGGTGCCAAGTTTGATTGAGAAAATCGAATGGACCGTTCTCCCTCATGCCTGACACGGCCAAATCTGGCGCCCTCAGACGTCCATCTTTTCGATGCCTTTGAAAGATTGTCTTCGTGAAAAAAATTTTGAAGACGGCAATACAGTGAAATGTGCGCTTTGAAATTTATTACACGAGGCTTTAGGTTCTTTTACTGCCCTGGCCTACAAAGTTCAAGGTTCAAGGTTCAAGGTCTTGTTCAACGTTGGCAAAAATGTTCTGAATGGAATGGGGACAACGTGGAAAACAATTGATGGATCGCGAAAGTTTATGCATCTGCTGTGAACTTTGCGTTCCTGTACAATAAAAGTTTGTGAAGAAAAAAAGGGGGTGTCAATTTGGGGATGACCTCTTGTGAAAGAAACCTGTTTGACCCGGTGGACTGATGAGGGTGGCTTTTCATAACCCTTTCGTATTTACCTTTCATTGACTAGATTATCTACAGGATGAATTTCAAGATCCTCGTTCTTTAGGGCAGATGTAGTCTCTTCACATACTGGTTCGCTGGGATTTTCAACCATGTATAATATGAAGAAGATGAGATAGAGAATTGAGAGCAGCAGGTAAACTTGACCGAAGGAGAGGGACTCTTTTCTCCTACTCACTTTCGTCTTTTTGTAGCAATAGAAAAATAAAAATTAAAACGCATCTCACCAAGTCAGTGCCTAAATCAATGCAAAGGATGGTGATAGTCCCAAGAGCCATTGGTATGGAAGCCACGATGAAGAGCACGAGCGGTGCAAGCTCGGTCATATTTTTAGTGAGGGTATATGCAACCGTCTTCTTTATGTTGTCGAAGATCACCCGACCTTCTTCCACTCCGGTCACGATGGAGGCGAAATTGTCATCCAGTAGAATCATGTCAGCTGCTTGTTTTGATACGTCCGAACCAGCAATACCCATTGCAATTCCTATAGGCAACAATAATATTTTTTTGGATTAGAATATCTACGGCCTGGCACTATTCGAAAGTCAGACTTTTGGCCAGATTTAGCTCGCTAAGTCACGTTTCCGGCACATCTGATTGGGTGACGCACATAGGTGCAATTTTCGCTCTAATTGCTCCATGGAGCCCGTCCGTGCGAAGAACGTGAAGCGGCTGTTTTCCTTACTGAATTTAGTTTATGTAAAGCAATAACAGCGCGTTGTAATTCTGCGAAATGCTCGAACCTGATTGACCAAGGTTTTCGGCTGTTCCTGTTTTCGAATCCCTCCGGAGAAGATCCTTTTGTGTCGCAAAAGTGAAACGCGAAGCTTGGAAGTCCCCGGGCAGGTCTCGCTTATGTGAGGTAAGCATAACGTGAGGCTTTGGCAACCCAGTAAGACCTCTACGGAAGTTGGGACAACATCGACAAATGAGGAACACTTTCATCGTGTGAATTCAGGTTAGGCCTTATCAAGATCTGCCGAAATAAACGTTATAAAATATATTTAAAAAGTTGCTTTGTCTAAATATTGGCATTCATTTGAAATATCCCTCTTACGCATAGGGTCCACTGTAGGGGACCAGAATAGAAGCAGAAAGAGACACTTCAACCGCTTCATTTAAATTAACGTCATGCGACAAAATGCATAGTTCGGGACCCTTGGTATTCATTCTTGTCATCGATTTCTCTCGCTGGAGAGATGGTCAACGAGGGATAGGTAACATCCAAGCCTCATTGTTTAGCGTATCGATCACGGGGCGTCAAGAGTAGGCCTAGTTGGATTTTCTAATTCGATGGTATCCGCAGAATGAGGGGAACACAACTCAAGCTGTCCAAGCCTCAAAAGAGGCTCAGGTTTCGAAAGGTTATTTTTTCTCTACTCGATGGGGCTAGAAATGTGAGTGGTAGTAGCGTTACCGGTCTACCGGTAATTACCGCAGTGTTGCTTACCGATAATATTACCGGTAGATTACCAGTTAAGCACTTTTTCATGTTTTTTAGCACTTTTTTCACCAGAAAAATGCATACTATTCAGCTTTTTTTTCCAGAAAGAGTTATCCAAGGCCAGAGTCAATGACGGTGAAACAATCACAAAGGTTTCAAGGCCTTTGCAGCATTTCTGCATGTCTTCCATGGTATGCTGAGAAATTACTTGGAAATTAGCACAGATATTTTCTAACCCGAGGCCAATACGCATTGATTGTGTATATCCTGTTCAAATCCGCAATAAATATTTCGGCGGCTATGAGGCAGTGTCAGTGTCGGTGTAAGGCCATGTCGCGCTTTCCTACCATTTCGTCTTTTTTTAACGTCGATGGTAAGTAACGTACGTTATTTACAGGCGTCACTTTAGTATTTTATGAAATTACTCCGGGTCTAGGACGAATGGAAGTATGAAGGTGGATCAAAAGTTACGACCAATGAGTTTTTTCTTGCCACCTGGTTTCATGCTGTATCAATCACACGTTCATTTGTCAACACTGACCCCTGTCTTTATGGAAACATCTATCCCAAGTAACAGTATGTTGATGAAACGTTTCCGAAATGTTGCCTATGTTGCTCAATGTTGCAAGTTGATGTACAACATTCATAAAACATTGCTTTAATGTTTTCACTCGGAATGTTGCTGCGATACTTCTACGAATGTCATTGCAACAGTTGCTATCAACATTGAGAGAATGTTGACACTCTTGACGTCGACAACATAGCGACAACATTCCGATACAACATGGACTTAGAAGTTTTAGGGAATAGTAGTGTTGCCCTCCTTGCCACGAGATGGAGACGTAGTAGGTCTCGCTTTTCTCAAAGGACACAAAAGTGCCCTTCTCCCTTTCCCTGGAATCGTCCCGCACAGGAATGTTTAGTACCTCGCCATATGTCTCGCATTGTCTCATTATTGGAATCAACGAACACGGACACTTCATCACTTGCTATCCTCATATTCCAGACAGATTCACGGGTTCAATATTAAAAAGCCCGAAGAGAACTCTTTCTTGGAAAGAGTTCTCTTTGGGAATAGGAGCTTTCCAAGGTCCGTTTACATCCTACAAGACATTAAAAACGATGGTAGAGAGTCAGTCTCAATCCTTCATCCTGAGAACTAGATGAGGAAAAGAAGGGATGACTTCCGGGATAATCCATAGAACATTACAGTTAGACCTATTCCTGTAATGTGCCATATTAAGCACATCCAGGGGAAGATCACCTAAAATCCTTGGAGTTTGAATGAGATTTCAGCAGCATAGCTGAATTCAAAAAGATTAAATTCACGCAATTTTGACCATAAAATATCCCGATGTCGGGAGGGAAAAGGCGAATCTCTCCTCATGGTAAGTTGCACTACTCTTTCGGTTGCATTGATAAAGCAAGTTACTTATTTGACTTTTTGCCAGCTAAATAGAGAAATAATTGTCTTGAAGTTGGAGTTTTCCCATATTTGGTCATCTTTGGTCGAGCATTTTTCAATGTGGCGGACTCCAGATTACCTAAAGCATTCCCTGATTCCTGGAAACTTTGCGAACTACAATGCGTCCTTGCATGCGGTTGTCAAGGCAAATCAGCAAACACAATGGAGCCAATACTTTTCTTACGGAGTCACAGAAATCGCTAAGAATCTTTATCGCGAAATCCGAGATGGTCGAGCGCCTTGCCTATACGAGTTCGTATGGAATGACTCGCTAGTTCTCTCGGTATCCGCAAACCTAGTTCCATGCCAAAGTTTGTCTCTCTCAATATTTCACAAGTGGGATGTTGCTTTAGCCATACATCGGTTGCAAAAGAGGATATTGAGACGTGCAAAAATTTTTCCTTAATATGGCACTCCTGGAGCACCGGTAACCTAGTGGTAATACATTGGTAAAATACCGGTAATAACCGGTAAATTACTTGCAAATTTCCGATAAGTAATGACCTCTCTCTTATCGGTAATTTTACATCTCTAGATGGGACGAGTAGTGGGAACAAAAACAAGAAAAGGGAGCGATGTAGCTGGAAGCGATAATGATGTAATTCAGATGCTCTCACAAATACGTTTCTTTTCATATGTGTTAGCTATTTTTAGATTGGGGGGGGGCTAGGATGAGAGGCAACCAGCCGTCACAGAGTCACGGCGTCCAAAGTTCCGCAGTCCCATTTCAATGGTAATCCAGCATAGCCCTAGGTATGGGAAGTAGATGTAGTATGAGCATGCTGCAGACATACCGATGTCAGCTTTCTTGAGGGCGGGGGAATCGTTAACTCCGTCGCCAGTCACAGCCACAATGGCACCCAGACGTTGGCAGCCTTCAACGATGATCAACTTTTGCTGGGGCGAGGTGCGGGCGAACACGATTTCAGAATGGTTCCTGAGAGGAAACGACATCTAGATCATGGGTGACTTTCAGACTGGAGTTGATGTACGCGAAGTAGGGATTTTAGGAGAATGGCTGATACCTTAAGAGATCATCAAGCATGGGTGGTGACATTTCCCTGAGTTCGGAGCCACGGACGACGGCTGCCCGAGCATGGGAAGGATCTACATCTTTCACTTCAATGTTCAGACGATTGGCGATATCTTCAACGGTTTCACTGCCTTAAATAACACGCACACGCATGCAAAGGAAACAAGCAACATATACATATTTTTGAATGGGGAGGACATACCCTCCGAGATGATTCCAACAGATCTGGCAATGGCCTTGGCCGTGATGGGATGATCACCAGTGACCATGATGACCTTGATCCCGGCCGATCGACACTTGGCCAATGCATCAGGAACTGCGCTTCTAGGAGGATCGATCATGGACATGAGACCGACAAATCGAAGTCCGTTCAGAGGGAAGTTCTGCTTGGCTGCATCGAATTTAAAGCCTGGCGGGAACAGTTCCAGAGGGAGTTTGCAGTCGCAGAACCCGAGAACGCGCTCTCCACGCTCGCCCAGGTCGGTGTAGGCAGTATTGAAGGCCATCTTCCATTGGTCATTCAAGGGAAACTCTTTGCCGTTTATAAAGATGGTGGAGCAACATTCCAGGATACGTTCGGGGGCTCCTTTCATAACCAGCAGGTATGATAATTGGCCATCGGGATCTCTTCTCTCATGAATGCTCACCTGAGAAAAGAAAAACCCATGTCGAAAGCATGTTTCTCGTCCTTTACTTTTTTTCTCAAAATTTCTCCAATGCATGCTTGCTCTTGATTTTACTATTTTCGCCTCCGAATCTGCGAAAAAAAACTTTGTTGTTGCCATCCTGTGAATATTCAGAAATGAAAAGGAGCATGTGGCATTCCTTTCCGCCAGAGAAGAAGGTAAAAGGAGGGAAAATATGTGTCATTTGTTCTCTTCTCCTCTGCTGGAAAATCTATTACAACGATGAGACTCAGTTTGAAACGATGTGTTACTGTTCATATACTTTTACCCGGTCTAAGTATACTTTTCGATCATGATCGAAATATCATAATAACTCGATTATGATAACTCGATCTGGGTCTAAGTATCGAACCCAAATATCATAACTCGATCATAACTTCGATGATAACTGACGTCACGCTGCCATAGGCCCCCCTGTCGTCTGTCGTGAAACATGGCTCCTTACTAAACTTCAATTATCCCATGTGTCTTCCACATGGAATTTACTCCATTGTATATTTCTCATTTTACCACCTCGACTGATTGGAGACATAGCGCAGCAGTTACCAACAGAGACCTCTCGTGTCTTTCTCGTGAAAAAGGATTGGAAGATGGAGGAGAGTTGTGATGGTCCTAAGACTTGTGTAAGGCGTTTTTACTCGATTGATGAAACGACAGTTGTTATTAGAAGATGGGGTGACAAGCGTACCCAAGCATTGTTCGAATCGAAACTGGAAATGTGAGGAACAAAGCCATCTTTATACCCGATCTTTGGTTGTGATGGCCAGGAAAAGGGCCAGAGATGACTGGATTTGTCGGTTTGCATAGTTAGATGTCGCTCTCAATTATTATTGATGTCGCTCTCAATTATTATTGATGTCGCTCTCAATTACGATTTCGGTCTAAGTAAGAAAATTCGATCAGTTATACGGGTCAGGGAGGACAATCGAGTTATGATGATCGAGCTATCAGTTATTTGGGTCAAAGTATGGTTTTTGATCATGATCGAGTTATTATGATATTTCGATCTTTATCGAAAATTATACTTAGACCGGGTATTTCTCTCGCTCAAACCTCGGTGACGGTTAGGTGACCTGCTCTGCTTGTCGAAATTGGGCCGATGATGGACATGCAGGTATCGATGACGACGAGGATGAAAACGTGTTTGTGACTTCTGTAAATGCACATATATGAGGACTTCTATAACAATTTAAACAGCAACAAGTATTTTGCCATAGAAGTTTCACTGGTGTTTCCTTTCTAGGGCCCAAGTGAATATGCATATAATGAAGATAAGGGGAAAGCAAGGAAGCAGTTTTATTCGTAGACGTTTCATTGCTGTTTCTGTTCTTTGACCCTCATGAGAGGAAAAACAGGGTGTCCGAAAAAGAACTCCGGAGTTTCGAAAATAAATATTTATTCAATGAGTCAACACGATACATTTTTGTTTTTGTAGATCAACACGTTATAGTTTAAAATTTTAGTATTAATCAGTACACTTCACTGTGTGCACCGCTGACAGCTCGGCAGACGTCAAAACGGTATTCCACCCCAGCCCATACCAGAGGCAACATATCCCGACCTAACACCGATGGGTTTTTTCTTCTGGGGCTACGTTAAGGACATCGTCCACCGTGAAAAAGTGGAGAGTGTTGCCGATTCGCAGCGACGAATTACCGAGGCAATCGCTGCGACACCTGTGGATATGTTGCCTCTGGTATGGGCTGAGGTGGAATATCGTTTTGACGTCTGCCGAGCTGTCAACGGTGCACGCATTGAAGTGTACTGATTAATGGTAACATTTGAAGCTATAACGTGTTGGTTTGTAAAAACAAAAATGTCTTGTGTTTACTCATTGAATAAATATTTATTTTCGAAACTATTTAAACTATTTCGAAACTATTTATTAAAGAAATATTTATTTCCGGAGTTCTTCTCGGACACCCTGTATAATGAAGACTCAGGAAAATGAGAAAAGGCATCCATGTGCTATTTGTGGATGTTTCGTTGCGGTTTCTGTTCTGTGACCTATTTTTTCGGTACATTGGGGGCATTTCCAGAGTCACTTCCGCTGTTCGAACGACTGCCCCCAGGAAACCGATAGACACAATGTTGTTGTTGCATTTTCAAATTGGTCTGTAGACCAATTTGACCATGCGGAAGAAAAAGCATGCAGTTTTTGTAGAAGCCTGTTATGACATCGAGGTCACACACGGATAGTATCTTAGGAATTGGATGGATAGGCTTAATACTTATTCGAGCAGTTTTTAACAAGTCACTACAATGCTGATCTTGAAGCAGAGAATTGAGCTCATTGGGCTCTGCCATGAAAACTCCAGGAACAACGAAGTAGTTTTACGTGCTTATCAACAACGGCAACACAGCACAGGGCGAGGGCCATGCTTGGAGAGGAATTTAACCACATGCCACGAGTTGAAGGGGAGAGAGGGAAGTCCTCTCTATACCTTCTGCAGCAGTTTGGAATGTGCTGTCATGATTGGAGATAATGACTATCACGAAAGGAAAGCACCTCGGAACAGCTATTACAAAACGTGCGCCATTTGTGGACCATAGATACCATCTAGTGTGACCATAATGCCATCATAAACAATCACATGATTGCGCACGTTTTCTTCTACATGGTCAAATTGGTCTTCGCTTCAAACTTCCCAACGTTGCGTCCATCAGTTTCCTGGGGGCAGTCGTTTGAACAGCAGAGGCGAGTTATGAAACCCCCTATATTATGAATAAAATCTTTGCAAAACAGTATTTGGAAAGAGTATACCTTTTTCCCCACAGGGATGTACTTACCAACTATAATCAGAAATGTCAGGGGAAAAAATTAGCTGATCTTGGGATAAGGTTGAATCATAGTCATAAGTAAGGCATGAAAAGTACAGCAATTAATCCTCAACGTGCTATGACAGCTCCTTGGTACTAAATTTTGGTCATTTTCTTGCCCCCCTTGCCTTCCTTTAATTGACAATATAATGCGTAACTATAACCTATAACCGAAATCCGAGTGCATTCAGGGGTTGTAAGTTTTTCTTCCGAAAAAGCTGCGAGATCATCATCCCTCGTCGAGCTCCTCTCACGGTGTTGAGTTCTTATCGCATAATCCCATTATCACTCCTACTCCTGTATAATCGCGTCATAATCTCAAACCCCCTTGTGCCGAGTTTTGCAGTACCCCATTGCAGTCAGTCCCATTTGCGAGTCCTTCCCTCAAAGAAATTTATCGGAAAGTAGTCCAAAAGTAATCAGTAGTCAATTGCTAATTACACAAGTAGCTGATTACATAAGTTTCTCAATACATTGCTTGTGGACGAACGTTGAGTGATTCACCTGGTACTTATTGGTAGAGTTGAAGGGAATTTCACAGATCTTCTTGTGTTTCTGTCTGTAGCCCATGGTGTCTCCTACGATCACCTCGACACATTTCAGGAGCGCGGCCTCTGAAGCATCTCCTGTCACTTCTCTGAGTCGCACACGAGACAAACACAATTTTCCGCATAGGTTAAGGAAGAACACAGGAAAGCCGAGAGAAATGAGCAAAGACGATGAAAAACCTCTTGAGGACGGGAACATCGTTCTGCCCGCCTTTGAAGACGGCTCGGCTGCACAGAGCAGCAACTCGAGAAAGGGCGTGCCAGCCAGGACTGGCCTTGTTAAATTTCTGTTCTGAAATCAGGAGCAATCAACGATACAAAAAGGCGGATCGGTAGAATCTGACCCAGTAAGCCGAGTTTCTCACCAGCATGGTCCCCAGTTGTGTCGATTTTAACGATATGGTTGTCAAACCACATGTGAGAAACAGCCATTCGATTCTGAGTAAGAGTACCAGTCTTATCGCAGCAAATTGTTGATGTTGATCCCAAAGTTTCCACAGCTTCCAGATGTTTTACTAAGCAGTTCTTGGCTGCCATTCGCTTTGCCGTCAACGTTAAACTCACCTGAAGGAGAAACGGCCTTTTATGTAAATTAATTGTTTTACAAGGATGGATACAGAAATACGAGCATTTCAGATTTAGCTCTTAGAAGGATTCGAGTGACATACCGTTACAGTTGGAAGAAGACCCTCAGGACACATAGCGACGATAACTCCAGCTAAAAAGATGGCTGTCTCAAGTAAGCTATAGCCCAAGACAAAAGAGGCGATGGAAAACGCGACACCCAAGACTACTGCTACTCCAGTGATGATGTGAACGAAGCGAAGGAGTTCTTTAGCAATTGGGGTCTTTCCTGTTTGCAAATCCGATGCCAACCCTGCAATTCGCCCCATCACAGTGTCGTCTCCGGTCATGATCACA